TTACAAAACTATGTTTCTGGGGCAAAAATATACCAAAACATTTAATCCCAACACAGCTTTCATAAGGATACTGACACTGTTTATGTTGAATTTGGTTTTCCAGTCTGGGTAGGGCTGGCCTCCTTTCTGTTCAACAAATTACTCTGTTAACCCCTCACACCAGTGAGCAGTAAAGATTGTGTTGAGTTCAGAAATATTGTCCCTGACAGTGAAACGAGAAAGGATTAGAATCAGCGCGTGCCCTCTTCTCCCCATTCACACAAATTCTTGCAGTCCCTACCATCAAGCAAGGAGGATACAGTAATGGTGACAGTTCAGATAATTTCAGCCAATTCATGGCTTTAATTTACCAAAGGCTGATACTGTCACAGTTATCCAAGTGAAGGCAACACAGAAACGGCAAAGAATGGGAAGACTTACTGGGTCGTGCGACAAAGCCTTTAGAGAACGGTCAGGATATTTCAACTGCCTTGACATGGCATTTCTGGGATACCTCAGTGAAGAGCTGCCCAGACTAAGCAACACATCCCTTTTGGTGCCAGTATAGGATTTCGTCTCTGAAAGGTGAGGCTGACAAATTGGAACTAATCTAAGGCGGTGTGGTACAGTCATCTCGCCTGCAGGGACACATTTCAGCATTCAGCTGCAGAATGCCAGCTTAAGAACAAGCTCTCGATAAAGGAAAGTTCAGGCCAAGCCTGGGGATGCACGACTTTTAAACCAAGAACACTTTTTTTTTTTCCCCTCAGTCTACCCCCACCTCCCTGGGGATGGCAATAGGTTCAGAAGATGATAATGTTATACTGCAAACAGAGGGAGAAAAGTCGAGAAATCTCTCTTTCCTGAACTAGTTTTCCTTTATTTCCTAAAGCTGTTTCACAGTTTAATCTATCAGAGAGGGTGAGATTAGTGTTATGGAGAAACACACAAATGTTTTATTTTTGGGCCATGTTCTTTCAAACTAAAGCTAAAGATCAAGTCATGCAATCCCAGAAAAAGGGGTCTTTCAATTTAGATGAGAGCTGAGGACAAGTTGCCAGCTAGAACAGAGGGCAAATTATGCTGAAGACTCATTATTTTAGCTGGGTCAACCGATAGCATCTTCCTGAGCAATTTAATTAACAAGCTCATGTGGCATAACATTTTTTTACACACTGTAATTCTAAAGCCAGTTACACTTAGAAGTGCAGTAATACCAAGGTTTAAAGATACCAAGAAAAGGATGAAGTCTGTCTTCCTGTTTTGTGAAAAACTACATCCTTGGCCACAGTGTGGCAGGTACCTGTCATTATGTTAGGAGAAGTTGGGGATATTCACGTGGCAAGAAAAGGACTATGGAGGGGGTTTTTTTAACACTGAAGAGAGAGTTCAGTGTAGTAGTGATCCTCACAAAAGAGTATGATGCCAGCAAAACAGCAAAGGTAGCACTGCAAGCAGGTGCAATCCCAGTTAGCCATTCTATACTTTGGCTTGCAGGTGAATTTGCACTCTGAGAACTCCACTTCTCTGCACCTTATCCCTACAACACTCCTACCCAGCCCTCTCTGATCTACTGTAGTGTGGTTTGCTCATGATTTTTCACTTTTCACTTCTTCTCAGAAAGAAACAGATGAAAACAAAAATTACATATTTTGGTTTCTAAACAGTCAGTCAGAAATTTCATTGGAAATCAAGTCAAGTACAGGTAATTTCACCAACTCCCTTGGTTTATGCACTTAAGTTATTAAGAGATAGGACCATACTAGTTTGCTTTCTATTAAATAAAAAACTTATGTCCTAAGATTACAATCAAATTACAACTTTTCCCCATTTATTAAAAAAAAAAACAAACACCAACTTTTTTTCAAACTGTGTATAGACCTTCCAGACATTCTAAAGTAGAAGCCTAATCACCCTTGTGCGTCCCACAGGGCACTTTGTCTTTTCATTCCTAACTGTATGGGTCCACAAATTCTTAAACTCTTCCATAAACTTGAATAAATCAGTAAAGTTTAGCACCCTATTTCCGTGCATCCAAATAAACTGAGCACTGACATTCATTTCCATGACCATTTCTTTTAGAGCCACCTGACTGTACACATGACATATAAACAATTTTCCTCGCAGATGTGTCTGTGCTGTGAGCACTTGTGCTTTATAGCTGCAATATTAAACTCACTTGTTGCTTGTTATGAACATTTCACCACATGGAAGTCCCTCTAGAGTCACAACCCATTTGGTCTGTTCTCTTGAGAATGAGCAAGAGTTTATAGAAAACAGGCAGTTCTTGGCAGCCTTGTGGCAGATTTGGCTTAAACTCCTAAACCTCAGTTCACAGATTTTGGAGGAGAGCACAGGACCCAACATTCTCGGTCGAAGTCCTGCATCCCCAAAAGTGACAATGAAGTAAATCTCATCAGCCAACTGTCACCATATCATCCTGGGTAAATGAGTGGTTAGTTCCAGTTTGGATCTCAGGAGAACTGGTACATCCCATCCCTTCTATGAGAATTGCTGACACACTCAGACTTTTAATGGTGCCCACTGTGCCTGGGATTTCAGAGGACAGTGAAGTGCATCCGACAGTGTACTCTGCCAATTGTGCAAAGCTGTGTACTGGTGGGGTGAAAAAAAAAACCACCCTCTCTCACACTGGCAGGAGATCAATTTACAAACTCAAGCATGAGGTTTAATTACCCATTTCATTATCTTAGCTTGCATAGCTCTGAATGTGAACCTTCAATGAACCAAAGAAATAGTCACCAGCTGCTGCTTTGAGAAAGAGGGAGATAACAGGAAGGAGAAGTTCAAATGCCTAGAGCTGCTCTTGCTGCATATGGCACCCCTGTTTGCAAAAGCAGAGGACTGTCCCCAGCCAATAGATCTGTGTTAGACCACACTACGTGGAAGACTTCTGAAAGTCCTATTTATGTGCTAATCTGAACAAAGACCAAAAGAGATGAAACAGGGTTATCTAGCCAATCACTGAAAAGCCTCAGAGTTAAATTTTCAAATACAAGCAAGTGATCCTTAGAGATTTTTTTAGAAATTCATCCACTAAATTCAAGTAAATAAATTGTGATGTGCTTGTGGATTTTGTATGAGGAGGAAATAAAGTGTTTGCTGTAAATTATTCACTCAGCACTAGTTAACTGCAATGTTGGCACATTACTAGGCTTTTTAATATTCTTCTCAAGATAATAGGTAGCATTTTGCTTATTACCCTAATTTTTAAGTTATTAGTTACATTGGGCCATTTGTAAATACAGTGAAGAATTGCAAGAAAATCAAATGTTTTTCCAACTACCTCATTAAAAGTCTCTTTAGTTCAGGAGGGTTGAAAATCCTGCATATCATGAAAAGTTAAACCAATAGTATACCATCAGGCTCAGCAATTCCGAATTAATTCACATGCCCTTTCATAGCACCTGGGTTCCCCAAAGGCTTTTCAACTTATAAGCCATATGCATGTCTGTAAAGCTGCATGCCTCTCAAAAACTGTAAATAATAGTGCAGGGGAAAAACCTACAGGGCAAGTGAATTTATGGGGAAAAACAAAAAGTGCTTAATTGCAACTGGAATTGCTTATGTGCAAGGCACCTGAAACAGAGGAAAATGATGTAGTATCAGAGTCTAGAGGCAGTTTAGGGCTTTATTCCTGTGTGGTGACACATTCTGACAAATTCCCACTGCTGGCAGACTCCACTACTGCAATATCACTATCTGATTTTGGATTTGCCAAGAGCTGAGTGAGTATCACTGCAGCTGGAAGGAGATCATGTGTTCTGAGAAGTTTCACTTAAAACGTATATAACCGCTGTTGAAATCACCCATGCAACTCCCCACTACTTGAGTTTAGTAATTAGTACAGCACAGGAGGGATAAGGAGCACATATCATAGAATCATGAAGGTTGGAAAAGACCTCTGAAACCATTGAATACAACCATTAACGCAGCACTGCCAAGTCCACTGCCAAACCATGTCCCTTAAGCATCACATCCACGCAGTTTTTTGAATACTTGGAGAGATGGTGATTCCACCACTGCTCTGGGCAGCCTGTTCTAGTGCCTGACTACTCTTTCAGGAAAGAATTTTTTCCTAATATCCAATCTAAACCTCCTCTGGCACAACATGAGGCTGTTCCCTCAACAGAGAACTGCCAGCAGCCCTGTTTTCTGCACCTTCTAGCTTCTTCCTCAGTGGTCTCCTCACCCTTACAATAACCCAGTCTTATTCTGCTTAGCAATGCAATATCTAATTAGATCAAAGCTCAAGGTAGTCTGGCTACAGAGTGAATTGTGCTATTTAGTCTTGCGCTGTAAGCAAAACCGCATGCAGTATATTACATTTCTCAGGGGCTTCTCCAGAGAACTGTGTGGTACATGTAATTGCCCCCACAAACAAATCATCAACTAATCAACTGCTTTTCATTATCACCTCCAGCAGCACATTTATTTTGTAAATAAATGCATTAAGAGCAAACAATTTTAGGGAAAACAAAAGATTATCTGAATACGATCTCAACAGAGGAAGTAGTAAAGTAGTAATTCAAAAACTAAAATGAAGCAAAATTAGCATAGGGTGGAATGATTATTCCATTCCATGTATCCCTGGTACAATAACAGAGTGAAATCTGTGACTTTAATGGATGATCTGGGTAGTTTAAGGGAACTGTGATTGACTGACACATTTACATAGAGGCTGATGAGCAGCATAATGAATGCATTTGTAAAACATAGCTAAGGTCTAACTCTAAGCTGACATTAACTCCCACACTTAGAGGAGGCTTGCAGAGCAGATACCCTGCTATCTTGAAGAGTTGCTCTCTAGCTCTTGGAGCAAACAAATTTGCTATTGTGAGCCCCCTTCCTCAACAGGAACTCCAGGAAGTGTATGGACACATGAGACTCTCCAGTTGAAGAGGAATTAATTGAAACAAGCCACATAAGATTCTGTGACAAAGCCACACAAGGTGTATAAGGCAGGTGTAAAACACAGAGATTCATATCCCACACCATACCTGTAATTTCCTAGGTAAACTCCATCAGGATTGAGCATGGGTGCAATCTTGAAGACCAGGTGGTCTCTCAGTACTTTTGCAATAGGATGGTGGCTCACAAGGAAATCAATTATACCTGGGGAAAAAAAATGAAGAAAGAGCTTGAAAAGGGGGAGTTGTGACATCAATGATTTCCAGATATCTATCTGAAATTTCACATATAAAAGATTAGAATGATCATTCCTCTTGGTTTCTGGCACCGCTCCTGCTTCCAACAGAACAAACCACTTGCAGTCATGTAGCACCTGCCACCTCCTTAAAACTCCAAGAACTTTGAGGAGAAATACCTTAGCCTATCCTCATAATCCAAGTACACTATGGCTGCATTGTCAGACACTGTCAAGTTTCCATAGAGGGAGAAGTTACTGCTCATCAGCTGAGCCTTGATAACAAAACATTTCTCCTCCTAAGTGGTAAAATGAAGATACCTTATATACCCAGCCTGCATACATGAGCTCATACTGCAGCTCAGCTCATGAGTGACCACTTGTTGAGCTGAGGCACCTCAAATTCATTTGAGCATATGCCCAGACCTACCCTTGACATATGAACACAGGTTTCAGATCATCTGCATGTATAAAGAGGTATAAAATGCCTCACAAAAACTGGGGTAGTTACATAACCTCTGCACTAGGCACAGATATACTGTGGGATTGGTAGACTGGAATTTATAAGGTCATATTCTTCACTTATTTTACACTCAGGAAAGCCTGGAGTAACTCCACCTTGGAACAAAGGCAAGCGACAGGGGAAGCAGATCCTAAATGCCCTTCCTTTGGGCACATCACAGCACCAGAGCCTGCAGGAGCTCCTGCCTCTTGGCCTTGTGCTCAGGGAGCGACTAAACATTGCCTCACCCCAAGGCTGGTGCTGGGGCAGGAAACAGGAATCTGGCAGTTAAATTCATTGCTTATTCCTCCACCGAGTTGGTACTGACAGAAATAGCTTCCAGGGAATTAATGTAGAGATAAATTGAGTTCCTGTGTAATCTCAGGACACCCACAGATAGGTCATGACAATTTGCTATTTATTGTAAGGTCCATCCTGTGAAGCAGGAACCATTTACTGAATTTCCCCAGAATAAATCAATCACTACGGTCTAGTAACAGGATAAAATTAAGCAGAGAAAAATTAAGGCTGCTCATCAGTAAAATTTCACTAATGGCAAGCTCTATTAGACTGTGGAATTGTCTCTCCAGGGTAAGAGTGGAATCCCATCATCAGAAGCATTTAAGGCTGGACAGGGTAAAGCCTTAGGGAATAGATATAACAAGCGACAATTCAGCATAGAAGAGATGGCATGGGCTAACTAGCTGACTTCAGAAAGGCTGACTTTAGACCTGATTTTTTTATGATACAATCAAAATATTTAAAAATAAAAATTAACCCCAGGTAGCATGCCAGATTAAATGCACTTGTTTATACTTGGTTGGAACATACATTAAAGATAGGACCAAAATCTCACATCTTGTACAACTCCTTCATTGAGCTTATTTCCTAAGGCCCACTTTGTGTTTCAAATACTAACAAATCTGAACCTATGCTGCTGTTTGGATGAATTCTAATTTGGTGAGGCACACAGAGAAAAATGAGGCTTCTGAAACGTTTGAGATGATCAAGGTGTAATTGACTCTAAACTTCAGCGATTTTTTCATCTATTAGTCACTACTCGTGAAGAAGGGAAAGTCCCTTTCTGCAACCAAGTCTTTTACTTGAGAAGAAACTAAACCTGAATTTTGGAGGCAAATTAGCATATACATAATTACATTGCTCAGGAAATGTTTCTGCAATTACCTCCTCCCAATGAAGGAAACTGAACATCGATCTGCTTTTTGGCTGGTGTTGTGACTTTTGTTCATTATACAACAGCAAGAACATGAAGAAACGACAGGGACACAGTTGGATCCTGAATAACCAGATTTCCTACGTGTATGCAAACATGAAAAGCTTAGCTATGTTAAACTGCTGCTCTAACTGTTTTCTGGCAGTGTCTGAAACATAATCCACAGTATGCACACCTGGAAAGCTCCAAAGTACTTAAAGGAAAATAGCCCCACACTTAGTCCATGGTTTCTCAAGATGCTATGCTGGTTTTAGTTTTAAAGAGCTTGCAACTAGACTCAACTATACTCAAACATCACATCAATTTAGGTTTTCTGAAACGCTTGGAAGAGTTAACCGTTCAGCAATCTTTATGTCCAGAAAAAACTTTATCCTAGGTTAGGTATGACTTTTCAAGGCAAATGCAATAAAAACAGTGTAAATATCACGTTGTGTACACAATCTTCACTTCACCAAAGGCCTTTGGCAGAACAGTTTTGCTGTGTGATCTGGTAGCACACCAAGAATTCACATGCTACAGTTCGTCATGCAGCAGGGAGGACCGTGAATACCTCAGGAATAACATGACTGCATTTCACCCAGGAGCCCAAAAACTCTCAGAGTTTCACTCTGGCTGTAACTGTGCCAGGGAAGAGGCTTGTCCAGGTTCTGCTCATTTTGCCCTTGTTATTGATGCAGCCTCACTCACAGAGCTTGGCAAAAGCGACTTGGCAAACAGAAGCTACAGTTTTCAGCTTCACACAGCGAATTATTCTTCCCTAACCAAGAACATGCTATGATGAGGAAGGCTAAATATAAACACAGTGGGTGAGCCTCTGCTCTGTGTGAATCACTGTTGCACCCTTAGTTAGGTCAGTTGGGAAGAGCCTGACCTTTGGTACCCAGGAGCTTGGTGTCAAACAAGACCCAGCATTTCACAATGTCCCACGGGGGGGGGGGTACTGCAGCCAAGTTCACCCAGTCCAAAAAGATTTACTTTATTTTCTTATTTAAGATATGTTTAATTAAGCCCAAAGAAACCTTACCCTATCATAAAAAACACAAAGCAAGAGTTAAGAATAACTGACTCATGGAATTCTAACTTGGACATAAAGGGAGTTCTAAGGGACATGAGAGAAGCATCAGATGAAAGCACACATTTACATACACAAACCTCACCAGAAAATTATTTTAAGTATCCAAATAATCAATACAATTAGCAAATAACTTTGTCTTCCAGAGGAACCCAATAGTTCTAGACCCTCTGAAATAGCCTTGATCAATAACATTTAAAATAAAAAGATGGATAGCAGACTATTAAAAAAAATATCATCACAGAGAACTTGGTCCTCCAGTTAATAAATCAATGCAAACTAAATTTTACAGCTTCTGTAATCAGCAAGAGACATATCAGTGTATCTCATTAGGCCAGGGTTAAGAATTTGGCAGCAACCAAAGCCCATTTAATATCATTTACTTCAAGGCAGACACGGCAATACAACAGATGCCCTAATTTATTTGTTGATCTTTGTATTAAAATAACAGTTTGCTGGTAAACAGGAAGGGTAATGATGCCAGTCACCCTTGTTAGTGGCTAATAATTGCTTAATTTGTCCACTAATTGACCTGTGCTACTGTTGAAGCACTGGATCGTGTTGCAGGGCATGAAGTAAACAAGGCCACTGTAATGTTACTTTGGAGAATGACTTCTGGAAATAGAACTACTTATTGCTATAAATTTTCTTTTCACAGATGAGCAGATTAATTGGTCTGCCAATTAGTCTGCTATTAAAGAAAAAAGGGCTGCCCACAGATTGGATGTATCTTCGAACTGTGGCCCCAGTTTGGGTCAAAGGAAATAATCCAATCTGAATCAGTCACATCAGCTATGAAAAATAAGACAAGCATTATTTAAAAAAACAAATCTCTGTGGCTGGAAATCAAGGAGAATAGCCCAATAATGAAGTATTAACTCTTCAAGTGACTTGAAAATAAAACGGAGAACATGATGGAACGGACCTATTTAGGCATATTATGGCGTGGAAAAGTCCTCCAATTAAAAGAAGCAAAACAATATAGATTATTTTCCTATCAAGCTTTCTGGAAAGCAATTAAAATCTTTATTTTTCAAATAATAACATGCAATTATAGATGCTGCCTGGGACCATAACAGCTCAGAAATCAGCATTCAGCCATGACATAAGAAGAGGCTTATTCATAGTCCACTAGAAATCAACCAAAGTCTTTACGTTAACTTCAAGGAGCTTTTCACAGTTATGAGGGAATGGAAAGAAAGAAGTGAAACCAAGGAAAAGGCAAGGCAAAACAAAACTGTCAGCTGCAAGTATTAGATACACAGCCACAATGGCTTAAAAAATGCTAGCAGTTTTTTAAGTCTTTCTTGGTAAACACAGATTCACTGCAACCACACTAAATCTGGACCAAATTTCTTCCACTTCGAGTCACTTCTCTACCATTGTTCTTTCTCAAGGCTAAATGCACTTTATCAAATTTTTCTTGCCTTCTTCAGCTCAGCACCTCTCATCTGCCCCAACACTATATCCTGGGGCATCTCTCTGCTCACCCCAATCCAGTTCAAATTATCTACTGGTTCTTCACAGGCAAGTTAATCATTCACTCTTCCATAATATGTAACTTCCACTGTTCTGTCATGATATTTCCTCAATCAGCCACCTTAAACTCTGTTTAAACTTCCTGCTGGCTCTAACATGACCTCTCCACATTTGCTCCTTCCAAAGAAAAGCCTGTCTTATCCCCTATTTTTTCCATTACTCCATCCTTTCACCCTCAGTCTGACAATATATTTAATTGTGTAACTATATAATACATTTGCCCTGCTCCTATTACTGAAAATCTAATCAGCACAGATCCTAATGCAATATGGCAACTGTTAATGCAAACGTATCCTGGACTGTATCTAGTATATGCCAAGAAAGAAGTGATTTATATTTTCAGACCCATTTCCTAACACTGAGTAGCTGCTGGTATCCTGCAGTCAGCTCACCATAACCTGCAGGTTAAAGAGGATGTGGCAATTAATCTCTAACAGAAATAGGATATATTCATTGGAAAATAAATGTAAGAGAGTCCTGAATGCTTATGATCATATAAAACTATTGAAAATACACTGTTAAAAGAGAGTGAACTGAATGTGAATGACACAATTCTTATGTTTCAGTGGCGAGTCAGAAAGCAAAAATATGGGGTTGGGTTTTTTGGAGAGGTTTTCTTCAT